AGAGAAACGCTATTTTCATATTTTTTAACGGAAAAATAACGTCAGAGATTGTCACGTGTGGAGAATATTGTCATTATATCTGTGTTGATGTATTCAGCCATTTTCTTTCCAATTATTGAATCTGTTGTGCATATTTGTTTGTAAGAGCATTAATTTTGTTAAGAAAGGTGAAATAGGGAAAAAGCCTGGACGTAAATTAATATTTGGATAATTTTCTATGGCGGCACTCTCCAGAATTTTCCTTCAGTGAGTTATTTTCTTTTTTTATGAGTGTAGCATTTTTAAAATCAAAATTATGGTTGTATTTATTTCTATGTATTTAATTTCATTTTCGTATTTTGCTTTGATAAAGTCCACATTGGACGCAACGCGTCAGCAATTACCAGTTTTCCTATTGTCATTTTTATTCATAAATATTGTCTTCTCTACCGATTAAATCGGAGAAATTTTCATCATACACACACACACACACACACACACACATATATATATATATATATATATATATTGATAATATTAGTGGTAAATATACATACATATGCAAAATATATCGTATTTACGATTCCAATGGAATCAATTATGACCATGGAATATTAGTGTTTAAGCCTTTTTATTATTATTATTATTATTATTATATATATATATATATATATATATATATATATATATATATATATGAAAAAATGGAAAGAGTAAACGTTTTGGTTGCAAAGTGTATTTTTTTTTTAAAATATATTTTTTTTTTATTTCCATAATTTTGCTACATGAGTTTCCGGTCTCGCGACCTTCTACAGGCAAAAAGAGGATATTTCCACATATTATTTAAATGAATTAATTTTGCTTATGGTTTTCAATGTTGGACAAGAAAGACATTCGTGTCACTACTCCCTACAAATGTTGAAATATCCACTCTTTGCCTGAAGAAGATCCCGAGACCGGAAACTCGTGCAGCAAAATTTTGGAAAATAAAATATAATATATATATATTCAAAAATATCCACATTAGAACTAAAAACGTTTGCAGTTTCTCCCTTCTGTTTAAAATATACACTTTTCTCTCGTTGGAACAACTATAACCTCTCTCTCTCTCTCTCTCATATATATATATATATATATATATATATATATAACACTAATAAACTTATAAATGTAAGTAGCTATACTCGTCCGGAAAAACCTTAGGTGTTTTTGCAGTGTAAATGAAAAAAACAATACCCAAGGGAAAAAAGGGGTTAAAAAGAGAGAACTAAGAACACTTCCGGCGAAAATAATCGTTCAGAGTCCAAAGAAAAAAACCTCAGACATGAGTAAAGTAAAATAACTAAACAAAGTCCTCAATATACTAAGTAGTGCCAGTTCGCCCTGAGGATCCGCGTAGGTGAAACCTTGGTAGGTTCGTCTGGCTCTTTAGGTTTATTTTATATATATATATATATATATATATATATATATATATATATATATTTTCAGACAGTCCTCTCTCTCATTTTCTGACAGTCTCTCTCTCTCTCTCTGTCTGCCTGTCTCTCTGTTTTCTCTCTCTCTCTCTATATATATATATATATATATATATATATATATATATAAACAGAGAGAGAGAGAGAGACTCCGAAAATTTTGTATTATAATAACGTAGCCAATTCTACATCTCTTTGAAAATCTTGTTCGAATTTTGATAAATGAATCATTTATTTTCAACATGGAGTCTATTTATATTTCGTTTTCCGGGAACATGTAGTTACTCATATATTCACATTTTAAATGATGTTAATTTGTAGGGATATCCTATATTACTAAAAATGAACAGAACGGCTTCAGTTGTTAATTTAGGTCAAGTCATCAATGCACCTTACCTTACAGCTAAAGACTATCTTTGCCTCCATAGTATTATCGTTTTTATTCATATATATTGAAGTGTATGGAAAGTAATTTCGTCTTTACAACGTTTTAAGCCCAAGCTTATTTCATATACACATATAAAGACACCCAAGAGCATCAGTATAGTATTATCATTATAATGAAAAATGTCTTCTCGACTTGTTTTTGATTTATAATCTCAAGACGATTCATAAATAAAGATATTAGGGAAATCAAAGTTTGTTATCATAATTTTCATTGTTTTTCTAGCTTCTCTCCCCTCAGTATTACAGACTTCATTGTTCATTAACATTTCGACTGTAACAATTTAACGTTCACATTTTCTTTCTATCATTGGACCTTCTATGTTTTTTATCTTCATCTGTTACCATCCATGTATGCTCAGTTACCAACTAAGTTTCTATGCAGATAACACGTATTCCTCCTGTGGTAATAGTAAACCCAATTGATCAAACAAAGCAAAACTGACGTCTGCTCTCGAAAATGACCTCCAGTCTGTTGTTAAGTAGAACAAGAAATGGACCGTGAATATTAATAGTCATAGAGAAATATTTTCCCTTCTATCAACATGGTTGATGCTAACCTCCAGGAATGATTAAATATAAATATTTGCTATGTCTGCTGTTCTGAAACTTGGATCAGTGTGCCATGACAGACAATTTCTCTCGTCACAATGCGTATTTCACATTTAAGAATCTACCATTTGTTCTTGCATATTATTAAAATTATTAATATAATAATATCATAATATTTTTAAAATCTAATATTTTCAAAATTATTAAAATTTCGTATCATTTATCAATATACCCTTGAATACTATTGATATTATTAATATAATAATATTATAATATAATATAATATTAATAAAATTTCATATTATTTATCAATATAAATTTGTCCTTGAATATTATTGATATTATTAATATTATTAATATAATATTATTATAATATAATAATATGACAGAAATATTAAAATTTCATATTATTTATCAGTCTAAAATCTGTGCTTGAATATTATTCATATTATTAATATTGTTAATATAATAATATTATATTATAATAAAAATATAATATAATAATATAATAATGTTATTAAAATTTCGTATTATTTATCATTATACAATTTGTCCTTGAATATTATTCATATTATTATAATAATAATAATATTATATAATAATATTATAATATAAAAAAATTCACATTATTTATCGATCTACAATTTGTCCTTGAATATTATTCATATTATTAATATTAATATAATAATATTAAAATAATAATATAATAATATTATTAAAATTTCGTATTATTTATCAATCTACAAATTTTCCTTGAATATTATTCATATTATTAATATAATATTATTATAATATAATAATATTATATATTATTAAAATTTCCTATTATTTATCAATCTACAATCCGTGCTTAAATATTATTCATTAATAATATTATTATATAATATTATTATAATATAATAATATAATAATATTATTAAAATTTCATATTTATCAATCTACATTTTGTGCTTGAATATTATTCATATTATTAACATTATTAATATAATATTATTATAATATAATATCAAAATATTATTATGATATTATTAAAATTACATATTATTTAAGATTCTACCATTTGTACTTGCACTGAATATTGCTGCCTTATGTAGTGGTGTGCGCCTGTAATTTATCTTAAGATACTTGGCAAAATTCAGAGAAGAGTTTGCAATATTATCAGTCCTAACCTGGTTTCTCGGTTTTAGTCACTTGGAAGTGGCTTTCCTCTGTCTTTTCTATTACTATTTTTATGACAGTTTATGTATTGAGCTTTTTATTGGCACCTTGAATGCGCGAATATAAGCGTACTGCGAAATTAGTATTATCATCGTACTGTTCAAATAGGAAGATATATCAGTCATAATCAAATAGTTTCATTTCTTGCACTTCCTGTCCGGTTACTTAAATCCCTGACCCACACAGAATATTAAAAATGCAATATCAATCGCCATGTTCTCTTTTTTCCCCCTGTTCTTTTATTGTATTTTCTATTCATTAAGATCTTATTCCCTTGCGTCTTTGATACATTTGACATCATTTCACACAAAAAAGGCAATAATCCCACTAAGATGCACTGAACTACTGGAAGTGAATGAGAATGAAAAGAATTTAGGAGAAACATCTGGAGTCGAAATCTTAAACCAGATACAAGGGATACACATTTAGTCCTGTTCAAAAGATGTGGAAAAGTGTGAACAGGGCGATACTTGTGGGAAATGATTATACGGGGAGTAGAAGAGATACATCCCGCATATACCACCTAGAAATGCCCACCACATAATGGTAGGTCCTTATAAAGGATGAAGACACCATTGATTCTAATAGCTTACCATTATGTGCGAGATATACAAGGTGTTTCAAAAGTCAAGCGACAGTTGGCAGAAAACATAGACTTGAGAAATAGCAATCAAGGGAAAATTTGCCTGGCATCATCTTCGACCAATAAAATTTCTTAATAATACATTTTCACATACAGAAATATGATTCCATTTGGTTAATAAATAAAAAAATTCAGAAAGTTATCACTGGCAATGCAACTTTTGGAAAACCCTGCATGTGGCAAGTGTTTCTACCGCGTCTTGAAAAAAAATTGATATAAAAATGTTATTTTATTTTTGATTTCATATTTTTCTAACTTGCTGTCGTTCTCAAACCTTTCTTTTTCTTTCCAATCATAGGTTCTTTTCAGTTTCTTCTGTCACTGAACACTACTTAAAATGTATACTTTATACTTTTCCCATAATTCCCTACTACTCAAAGTTACTTCCTCTGCTTTATTTTAATTATAACATATTTATTTATTTTCATAGAGAATTATTATGTTGGAACGAGCTCACATTTCGGTGTTGGTCATAGTAATTATTCTGGTAAAGCAATTGGAATTCTGCTTTCAAGAAAGGCATCATGTTGCAGTTGCAATTTTGGGCGCAAAACACTCGGCTTATTTCACATATTCCATGTCTTTGTTCAGCCCAGGGACAATTCAATGTTTACATTTTATTTAATATTGTCGTTCTTTTTCACTTCCCTATATTTCTGGATGATGTTTTTTTTTCCTTCAGTTAAATGTTCATTTACTCTTTCTATCTTTCTTTCTTTCCTTCCTTCTTTCTTTTTTTTCTTTCTTTCTCTTTCGTTCTAATTGTTCCTGTTTTCTTTCTGTTTCTCGTTTTCGATCTATTTCTCTTTCGCATTTGTGTGTTTGTCGTCTTTCTCTTATCAACGACATTGTTTATACTTTGCTTCTTAATTTCATTTTCTCGTAAGCGGTGAATGTTCCTGTTTTTCTTTCTTTCTATCGGTTAAGTTTTCATTTCATTTTTTTTCTTCTTTATTTCTGTCTTTTTTGTTTATTTATTCTATCTTTTCTTTTTTTATTGTTTTTTTTTGTTCATCTGTGTGTTTCTTTTTTTCTATCGGTTGTTTTCATTTCCTTTTTTTTCTTTCTTTCTGTCTTTTTGTTTATTTATTCTAGTTTTCTTTATTCCTTTTTTTGTTCATCTGTTTTTCTTTCTTTCTATCGGTTAAGTTTTCATTTCATTTTTTTTCTTCTTTATTTCTGTCTTTTTTGTTTATTTATTCTATCTTTCTTTATTCCTTTTTTTTGTTCATCTGTGTGTTTCCTTCTTTCTATCGGTTAGGTTTTCATTTCCTTTTTTTTTTTTGTTTATTTCTTTCTTTATTTCTGTTTTTTTGTTTCTTTATTCTATCTTTCTTTATTCCTTTTTTTTGTTCATCTTTGTGTTTTCCTTTTTTTTTCATCGGTTAGGTTTTTCATTTTTTTTCTTTCTTTATTTCTGTCTTTTTTGTTTATTTATTCTATCTTTCTTTATTCCTTTTTTTTGTTCATCTGTGTGTTTCCTTCTTTCTATCGGTTAGGTTTTCATTTCCTTTTTTCTTTCTTTCTTTCTGTCTTTTTTGTTTATTTATTCTATCTTTCTTTATTCCTTTTTTTTTGTTCATCTGTGTGTTTCCTTCTTTCTATCGGTTAGGTTTTCATTTCCTTTTTCTTTCTTTTTTTTTCTGTCTTTTTGTTTATTTATTCTATCTTTCTTTATTCCTTTTTTTTGTTCATCTTTTGTTTTTTCTTTCTATCAGTTGTTTTCATTTCCTTTTTTCTTTCTTTCTTTCTGTCTTTTTTGTTTATTTATTCTATCTTTCTTTATTCCTTTTTTCAAGGTTGCTTTCATTTTCTTTTTTCCTTCTTTCTTTCTTTCTTTTTTTGTTTATTTATTCAATCTTTCTTTATTCCTTTTTTCTTTGTCTATCTGTTTCTTTCTTTCTTTCTATCGGTTAAGCTTTCATTTCCTTTTTTCCTTCTTTCTTTCTTTCTTTTTTGTTTATTCATTCAATCTTTCTTTATTCCTTTTTTCTTTGTTTATCTGTTTGTTTCTTTCTGTCTTTTATTCATTCGTTTAGTCATATTCTTTGTTTCTCTTTGTTTTTCTTTGTGCATTTCTTTCTTTATATCTTTATTTCAAGGACGTTTCGTTTTTTCTTTATTTCTACATTATTTCCTTCTTTCTGTCTTTCCTTCTTTCTTTCCTTTTTCTTATTTTCTTTCTTTTTTTTTCTTTTTTCCATTTTCTTTTTTTATTTTTTCACTCTTTTCTTCTTCTCTTTTATATATTTATCCATATTTCTTCTTTTATTTTCAATATTTCTTTTTCTTTCTGTTCCTAACCCATTATGACACTTTCCTGTATTTTTTAATTATTTCATTTTTTCATTTTCCTTCCAGTTTGGTTACTCTTCTTTTTTTCTCTCAATTTTGCGTTCTTTACTCATTTCTTTTAATACACATCCATTTTCTAATTATTCCGTTTACATCATTTGAGACCTCCTCTATATTTTCAACATTTTTCTCATTCGTTCCTTTCTTCATTTCTTTTATTTTCATCACACGTTTGCGCCATTTTCATTCCTCTGGCTTTCTTCTTTTTCTTTACTTTTCTTTTACAATATGTCTTTTTTTTTTTTCCAATTTTTCTTACACTTCTCCGTCTCCAGTCATTCTTTCGCCTATTGCCTTAGAATCGCAATAGATGATATTGTTTCAAAGCCAATTACAGAAAAAAAATTAGAACAAAACAAATCAAAAACCTGCAAGGAACAATCTGCAAGAGACAAAGCTATTAGCTACGCCCCCTAGGTGGCACAGCGTTTAAAGATACCGCAGTTTCTCACCAACAGAATAAAGGCACCCCATTAAACTAGAAATTGCTTCTTCTATCTACCACATACCACTCAAGCCGAGCGGTAACATTTCTTATACAGAAAATATCACTGTTTGAACGTAAAGAAACGTGTAATTAGGTGAATTTACTTCCGGAACAATAGGAAGTAGTATGTCCTATCGTTAACAGTGGCACGCATTGATTATCAAATGAGGTGTACTTTGTTATCGGAAATTAAAGAATTATTGTAATTATTCCATGGGTTTATTGGACTAGCACATGGAGAATTGATGCTTTGAACCAAACGCCAATATAGTTCTAAAATATTCCCTAAAGTTATCGAACGATTAACTTCGTAATTGTTGTTTTGATTACTAGCAAATAGTCGGTAATGAGTCACTTAATAATAACACTACCTAAAGCTTGCCATGAAAGTTCGGCATTGTTCATGAAATTTATCGGACCGGCTTTGATGTTGACGTTATGACATCTGTCCTTGGCATTATTTAAGTATCTTGGCCCAATTTCCTTGATACGCAAAAATTTACACATAAGTGTGGCAAGCAGTAGACACCTTTGGTTGTGGATTCACCCTGTGTAAAGGGATGTAGTCGGTTGATGACCCTCAACCAATACGGGGATTTCTATCCTGGATATAGTTATTAACAAGCACGGTATTTTAACATCAAAAGCACGGTGTTCACCTGTCCAAGCCATGATGGTAAGTGATGTAAACTAAAAACAATGACATGACATTATCTAGATTACGACACCATTTCCACTTCCCTAAGATTAATAGTGCGACACAGATGATTTGGGAGGTATTTCTGCCGCACATATATATATCAGACTTGTCATTATCTATTTATCTATCTATCTCATTCTATTCATTATTTATCCATCAATCTATATGTCTATCTCATTCTATTAATTATCTATCTATCTATCTATCTATCTATCTATCTATCTAATTCTATTGATTATCTATCTTATTGTTTATCTATCTATATCATTCTGTTCATTATTCATCTATCTATCTATCTATCTAATTCTATTGATTACCTATCTTATTGTTTATCTATCTATATCATTCTGTTCATTATCTATCTATCTATCTATCTATCTATCTATCTATCTATCTATCTATCTATCTATCTCATTCTATTCATTATCCATCTATCTATCTACCTGTCTGTTCGTTGGTTAATTTATTTATTTGTTTCTATCTATCTATCTATCTATCTATCTATCTATCTATCTATATTTCTTTCTATTTTTCTGCTTCTTTCTTTCTTCCTTATTTCCTTAGTCCTTCCTCATTTTTCTATAGCCTTCACATTTTTCGGCCCTTTCCTACGGACTTATGTCTACAACGGACTTATGTCTACAAATTTGACTCCCAATCAAACAAAACGTGTGTCTAATCTTTTGACTTGCTTGAAAAATAAATCGACTCTTACATTTTTTTTACTAACGTGCAAGAGGAGGGTGAGTTGAAAAGTTCATAGGCAGACTATGAAAGTATGATGCGAGAGCTGGGAAATTTTGTATGCAATAATTTCATATCTTACTAATAACTGCATTGTTTCTTTCTAGGTACGAGGCTGGGCTGAAAATTCCGTAAGCTGACTATGAAAGATTGATGCTAGAGCTATGAAATCCTGCTTTCAATTCTTCTTATTGATAACTGCATTGTTTCTTTCAATTGGGTTTAGATCAGGAGTTTGACTAGAACGTTCTAATACTTGAAATTTCTTTTTACGAACCCATTCTTTGGTAGATTTATTTGATGCTTCCGATCATTGTCATTTTGGAAGTTTCAGCCCCGACCTAAACCTAACTGAAGACAAGATACTTTCGTTCAAAACTCTTTGGTATCTTGTAGAGTCCATTGAGCCGTAAATACCTACCATTTTGATTGTTCCAGCTGCAGCAATGAAACCCCAAATCATAATCCTGTCACCACCATTTTTAATCGTTGCTATCAAATACATCTCTTCAAAAGCCGTATTAGGAGCTCGTCAGATAGTGATTTTCCAAGCGTAGCTAAGAGGTGGCACAAGGCCGAAAGTATGGTACACCCAGTGAGAATCGAACTCACTACTCAGTAGTAACTGTTCTAGCGAGACAAGCTTGCTAACCATCACACCGCCTCGAGGTGCGGTAAATGATTTTCTAAGCTAGCTTAGATGTGGCACAAAGCCGAAGGTATGGTGCACCCAGTGAGAATCAAACTCACTACTCAGTAGTAATTGTTCTAGAGAGACAAGCTTGTTAACCATTACACCACACCAAGCTGCCCAAAGGAGCTCGTGAGATATACCACTTATTGTTCCTCCCTAAAAGCTCCGACCATAACTTTTTTTTTCAGAAATGTTTATAGCTCACTAATATGAGTTGAGGCGACCATGCTTGTTCTGTTTCGTAAATAGTGGCGTTTTTCTAGGCATTCTTTCTTGAAAATCGGCATTGTTCAGATTTTATCGCAATGTAGTTGTATGCACATTGATTCCGACATTGTTCGGTGAGCATTGGAGAATATCAAAGTTCATGCCAGCATTTGTCTAGGCTTGCCGAACTAGATCTTTATCTCACTCTTGCTTTTATTTGAAGTGGATGGCCACTTCTTACTTGTGATGCCGTCATACCAAAGTGTTTCCATTTATAAATAATTTGTTGCATGGTGGAGAAGTTCATTCCAAATCGTTTTGATAAATTTTTGTAGCCTTCTTTATTATTATAACTTTCAACTATTCAGAATGTTTTTTGATCTTTGCATATATATATATATATATATATATATATATATATATATATATATATATATATTACATTTAGTCACTAAAGGCACAATTTTGCATACAAAAAGAATTATATTGTTTGACTGACTGCAGTATACAGAGCTTACAAAAAGTGAACGGGTCATTTCGTTTTTTACACAAGCTCAAAAATTATTTCTACTAGCAATTATATAAAACAAAAATGCTGAGTTATAACGTAAAGGTTCACTTACTTTTACATATCTTAATTTTTAATATTTTTCTTCCAGCTTCATAAAAATATTTCAAAGTGTTTGTAATTGATTTAATAAATGTTTTTTTTTCTTAATGAATATATTGGTGAATTAAGATTTGTTGATCATATGGAAAAAGAAACATTTTTAAAATATTATCTTGGGAGTTCGCTTAATTTTGCCCAACACTATATATATATATATATATATATATATATATATATATATATATATATTGTGCGTAAGACAGAGAAAATAACAAGCAAAATAGTGTACATTGATGGCACAATGGACACTGCAAGATACCAAGGAAATTTGAACGAAAGGGTCTAAGTTCAAAGTTGAATTTAGGTTAGGGCTGAAAATTTACTTATTTTTGCCTATCTTGATTTTTAATTAATATTTTAATTCCAGCTTGATGACTTCTTTTAAAATTGTTGTAATTGATTTAATAAAGTTTTCGTAATGAATATATAGTTTAATCATGATGTGCTGATCATCTGGAAAAAGAGAAATTTTTTAAAAATATTATCTTTAGGTGTTCACTTACTTTTGCATAGCACTGAGACAGATAGAGAGAGGTTTCTATTGGCTGTTACCCAGAATAGATTAAAAATACCGATAATAAAAAATCGTCGTATACTTTCACTGACGAGTAAGACAAGATATTGAAAAATATTATTTTTTGTATTAAAAAAAAAAAAAAAAAAAAAACGTGGAAAGAATACACTGAACTGATCGCATAATATATCAGCATTCTTAGATCGGCATTTTCCGTGTAGAATCCAACAGTATACTGAAAGGAAGTCTTTATATACAATCATAGGTTTTCATAAGAGTGAGCTCCTGTAAATATGCTAGCATATGAATAAACAATAAAGATTAAAGCCGGCCAGATTCTTATCTTCAGGAGAGCAACACACTGCGGCTTTTTTGGTCCCATGTTTTCCACTGGCACGGCATGAAACAATTATAATTAACCAATTGCTAAATAATCTTCGAGAAAATAGGTTTACCATGTGATGATAATCATATTTTCGAGCTAAAATCTATTGTATATACAACCTTGTGCAAATTAATTGGAACAAAACGAGTAAAACGTTTATTATTTGCTTTTTTTTCGTATTTATTCCCATGAAACATAACCCAGTGCACATGTTAGTACTTCGTATGTCCATTCCCCGAAATCGTTCCTTGCAGACTGACCGCAAATTCTCGATTAGATTTAAATCAGGAGAGTTTCCGGGCCAGTCTATAGTACTTTAATTTTCTCACTGGTAAGGCTTGTCATTGTTTTTGTGCAGCGATACAATTTTCGTACGCTCCTTGGAGTAACGTCCATTGCAGACAATGGCCATATGACAACTAATCGACAGTCGAGACAATAGTGTCTGGCCGTGATAAAAATCTGATCCTTTCACTAACGAGTAAGACAAGATATTGAAAAATATTATTTGTTTTATTAAAAAAAGAAAAACTTGGAAAGAATACACTGAAGTGATCGCATAATCTATCAGGCTTCTTCGATCTTCGTTTTCCGTGTAGAATCCAACAGTATATTGAAAGGAAGTCTCTATATATAACCATATGTTTTCATGAGAGTGAACTGCTAAATATGAATAAACAATAAAGATTAAGACATACATAAGCAGTCCACGTTCTTAGCTCCAGGAGAGCAACTCACTGGCTTTTTCGTATTTTTCGAATTAAACATGACGCAGTGCACATGTTAGTAATTCGTATGTCCATTCCACGAAGTCTTTCCTTGCAGATTGACCACAGATTCTCGATTGGATTTAAATCAGCAGAATTTTCAGTCCAGTCTATCTAACACAGCCAGTTCATATCTATCTATCTATCTATATATATATATATATATATATATATATATATATATATATATATATCTACACCATTGTGCAAATAAATTGAAACAAAACGAATTATTAATTATATTTTTTCGTATTTTCAAATGAAACATGACCCAGTGCGCATGATAATTCCACCTATGTCCATTTCCCGAAACCGTTCCTTGCAGACTGACCACATATTCTCGATGAGATTTAAATCAGGAAAGTTTTTAGGCTAATCTATAGTAGTTTGATTTGCTCACTGGGACGGCTTGCCAGTGTGTTCGAGCAGCGTTACAATTTTCGTACGCTTCCTTGCAGTAACGTCTATCGCAGACAATGTTCATAGGACAGCTTATCGAGAGTCTAGACAATAGTGTCTGGGCGTGATAAAAATCTGATGATGCAATAGTTTTCAAGGCCAAACAAATTTCATCATGCTTCCCGAATGTGGATTCATATTACTGAACACCACTACAAATCCCCAAATCTGAGGAGAAAATAGAAACAGATTACACCGTTTCACTCCAACTGGTGTAAAACTGACTAGATTTCAATCTAAATTTAAAACTGATTGGATTTAAATCAAGAGAGTTTCCGATTCAGTTCATATGCTAGCCTATGAATAAACAATAAAGATTAAAGCCTACATTACATTTCGTGCCAATATCTATCGTATATACACCCTTGTGCAAATTAATTGAGACAAAACGTACAATTCCGTTATTATTTACTTCTTTTTCCAATGAAACATAACCTAGTGCACATATTAGTACTTCGTATGTCCAATCCACTAAATCATTCCTTGCAGATTGACCACAGATTCTCGATTGGATTTAAATCAGGAGATTTTCCGGGCCAGTCTATAGTACTTTAATTTGCTAACTGGTAAGTGTCTGAGCGTGATAAAAATCTGATGCAATCACGGATGACACAATATTTATCAAGGCCAAACCAATTTTATCATACACTCCAAAAAATAGTTTCATATAACTGCACACTGGTGTGCAGTTATATGAGGGGACAAAATCTGAGGGGACAAAATAGAAATCGATTACACCCTGTCACTCCAGTGGGTCTAAAACTGACCGTATGCTGAAAGAAAGGAAACTAAAGCAGGTGTTTCAATTAGTTTGAACAGGGGTGTATCTGGACCAGAGAAAACATTCATATTACTGCACACCACTGCAAATGGCCTAATCTAAGGGTAAAATAGAAATCGATTACACCCTGTCACTCCGGTGGGTCTAAAACTGACCGCATGGTGAAAGAAAAGGAACTAAAGCAGGTGTTTCAATTAATTTGACTATCATTGATCTATGCTTCGAATTTTGCTGCTATGTATTTTCTGGTTATATATATTTAGAGATTATGATCAAATCCAAAGAAGAATCTGTAATTGTTATTGTCCCTGATCTGTCATCTCGGTTTTAGCCATTTTCCCATTACTGCAATGCAACGTCCCGGTGATTTTTTCTGTAAATAATTTCATTTATTTATTG